GTGGCGATTCGCAGGATGTTGAAGCGACCACTACAGGAGATTAATCCTGAACATAGATGACATAATATTCAATACGGAAGCAGATACGGGCCAAGAGGACCGCCCAGGCCGTGATTAACGGAAGTGGGCGGGCCGAGTTTCGACACTTGGTGCGTAGCTGGGAGCTGTGTAAAGATTTTAAATATGTAATACAATATAGCTTGCTCTATCGTATAATCATGCGAAAAAAAAAAAAAAACGTACGAAGTGCTTTCAAAAACTTGATGGTGTTTCTGACTTTCCAGGGATACCCCATGCGTCATGATTGAAGAAAACAGGATACACGAAAGGAAGCAATGCTGCAGCTATAGAAGAGCACTCGTCACACATGGAGAGCACATCTATAGCTGCTGCCTCTTTGATTAATCACAGAAATACAGGATTGTTTACGAAAGCCTCTTGCACTTGAAGTTGAGAATCAACTGTAGTAGATACGTATTCTTATTTTTCCCCAGATCAATTTTTGGGTTTAACCTTGCTTGAAGTGTGTCGGTGAGTTTTTTCTCATACTTACGATATCACGAAGTGCCGAGATTTCTCTGCTTGCCAAAAAGACCCCAGAATACATACGACATGAGTTCATCAAATTTCTCAGCCTCAACAGTACAAAAAATTATTACCCAATAGGAGAGGTTTTAAGGCAATGCCTGGTAGCCATACAAATTCTTGCTAATTATCTCAACTCTATGGTGGATTGATGTTTACACACGATAAACAATCTCATAATCTACGAGTCGCTTCATGCCCACACAATATCATATATCCTTGTAAATATGTACTTATGCAGAATGATTTCCCGAAAACACTATTGGAATACTCTAAAATGTCGAGCTTTAGCACTCAATAAGGACAAAACACAAAAGACAGAATTCTAAACAGCCACGTAATATTTTGGAGCTTCTGAAACAAATGCCAAAGAAGCACACCTGTTCATTTCAAGAGACCAAAAGTCGATCCATGTCTGATCAGCAAAAATGTTCTTGCGTTCAATTACAAACCTGGTAGGGGACACCAATTGGCTCATTCCAGAATGACTTGCCTAGACATATCGCAAATTGTCCATACATGACAATACTGAAAAAGAGGTGAAGGGACGTAGACCATGGAAGCTTAACATTTGAGAATGGAATTGGAACTGTGGGCAAGGTTTAAACTTGACTCTCAAGACTGCAATAAAATATTTTTTAACGCACATCACATGTTGTTGTCCTGACCCACAGATGACATCCACAGGTTTCATACTCAAACAATTGATTATGTCTCTATATTGTGTTCATTAAATGGTACCAGGTCAGCTTTTGGAATGTAGCACTATTGAAACGACTTTTATGAAGCGGAAACACCATTTGCTCTCGACTCCATGAGTACTGATACATATATAAGCAGATCATTATAGGACATTACATGGCACACGACACAAAGGAATAAGCTAAGCCACAAATAAGATTTTCCAAACATCAAACACTAATTTCGAGCACCTATTAGACCCAATTCCCTTTCTGAAATGCGATGACCCATAAAAAAATAAAAATCTTCAACATCCACACCTGGTGTGACGCTGCCAAGTGCTTGTAAACTCGACACCCATTTGCATAAAGATTCAAACATCAAACCAGTTTATATTGATCAAACGGAAACCCCCAGAATCGTCGAGACATTAAAAAAAATGACTCCGGCGTGATTCGAACACGCGCATCTTACGATAACAGAACTTGAGTCTGCCGCCTTAGACCGCTCGGCCACAGAGCCTTTGAATGACTCTTGTGAAAGGTGCTTGATTTCATTCTTTTAATTTGAGGCTCAATTTTGATCTCGACTTTCGCCTTCCTTGAATCCTCTTTCTCTCACGCCTAAACTTTAGGTATCAAAGTATAATTCCAATGCAAGTACAGAAAACAAAACGTAGCCCCGTTAATCAGATGAATCTACCAAAAGAAAAAAAGATTGTTTTTATCGCTTTCCACTAGTGGTGGGGCTTTGAATCCCTCCAGTGATGCCCTATATTATGATGTTTCTTTTGAAAAAAAAGAGGGGTATCAAACTTCCCTGGTCATATTTGTACACATAAATCTCCTAACAACGAACACGCCACAGAAACTTCCCTTGAATATCTTTGAAACAATTGCATGAAATGAAAATTCTGGTGGCAAGAGTTTATTGGAATACGGCGAGCTGAGAATCGACACTAGTTACATCTCTGAGAATGCTAAGATGTTTATTTTTATATTATTTTCTAAGTCTACTCTTTTGAGCGAATCAATTTACTGAACCCAAAGTATAAGTAGCCTTTTCTATACTTTGGTAACAAGTGTGAAATATTTCAGAACACCCCTATCGCTACCTTTGAAAGTAATAGAATAACCAAAATGGCCGCAAGTGAATTGCAAGATCAAGAACCCCAGGACCTGGTTTCCAAAAATTTGCCATTCAGACAGTCATCTGTCAACCAATAACTGGGGTGTATCATGTCAAAATTGATTGTTCTACCGTCGAGACTTTCTGCGACGCAGGATACCAGTTAATCATAGATCGGAGTCTGTTACGTAAAACCAGATAGAGGCTATTACGTTTAAGATCAACGTATCAATATAGTGTACCTCTATTGTAAACGACTACGGGACTAGAAACGCACCTTGAGATGTCAATGGTCCAGTTCGATTCGTGACTCGGGTTTGCAGCTCGAAAAGCCATATTCAATAATTCCATTCTGAATTACACCAAAGGTAATGGGCAAAGAAACTTTGAAGCTGGATTAAATTGCACATGCGCATACCCAAAAGAGACTAAGTGATTACTACATATTCACCAACCCCTTGGCGGATTTCTTTGGGAAACCTTGACGGCTAGAAGAAAAACACCTTTCCAGATAAACACAGTTCGAGGGAAATCATTGAAGCATTGAAGCTGTAAGCTGTTTTTCTGAAGCTCATAAAACATCGTCGAACGAGCTCAAGAACCGGGTGATCTATCGTGGAATCACTGTATAGCAGTTAAACCGAGCCTGAATGTGTAAATCCAAATGAGCCATATACCAAATATTTGTTTAAGCACATTGAAATCAGAATTAACTGATGAAAAGACTTCCTAAGGTTGTTCGGCAGAAATTTTTAAGCGGAGTTGCGTGGGGCAACTGACAAATGCTAATTATATCCGCACTTTTTGCCTGGGTGGCACAACTATTGTAAAAGATCTAAGCGCTTGTGAATAGTGAAATCCATGACCCCAGCTGCAATTATCCAGGGTTTGCTATTGCTTCATGAAGAGCATTGATTGAATAGTGAAGTGGGGAATTCAACGGTACTCAATTCTGAATACTGAAGCTCAGAAAGTACTTAGGTAGTCAAGTTTGCGGATATAATCAGAACTTTCAACCATTGATTCTAGAGTAAAGAAGTTTTTTTTTCACTAGCAACACCTTTTGAGACGCGCTGCTCAAAGTACTGCGAAGTCTAAATTACTGGGTTCAAAGCATTCAACTTTTGAAGATCCAGGATATTTCGTAATTCCCTGAGATATTTTGTTTTTTGTAATACCATATTCAACTTGCCGTTTCGTTTCTGGTTGTGACTGACGTTTCACCAGTTTCAAACCCACTTATAGATTCGAGCCATCAATATTCCAAATACAATGACTGATGTCCATTTAGTGAATCCCCCCTTGCCAGTAAATCCAGAAGCATGTATGAAAATGTGTGTTGGATCATCTTCAAGGGAAACTAAATACTTGGTCTACTTCTGGAAGGAAAGAGGGTCTAGCCTATCCGCTCTTCAGAGTACTAAATTTCTAAAATACTCGTTTTTGTAAAACATTAAGCTTTAGGGCACGGAATTTGTAACTCAATCTTTGAAGAGATTGTCTCAGCACTAAATCTCACCCATCTGTTTGTAGTGCTCAGCTGTTCAAATCATTGGGTCGCTTGAAGCAATACGAAACTCCGCAAATGGTCTAGACTCATTCCCAAGATCTCTCAGTTTCTGACAATAGTCGGTCTCCAATAATACGGGATTTCCTCACCACTCAATTCAATTTTTTGGGGTGCTCATTTTTATATGCGGCCCCGAACTTCGATTCACCATGATATCAAATTCGTTCGACTTGGTGGCTCAAAAGGCTTTAATTTTCTTTCATGTTCGATTCTTGCACGTTGAATAGTTAATAGCAATATCTGTTCGAAAAGCTTTGAGAGCAGGCCACCCCTTCTGACCGAAAGTCTACGAAATAGTTCTAGAGTCTAATGCACCACAGATTTTGTCGCGTCACTGAGGACATCTTGAATGATCCTCCGCAAATGAACCCACAGACACCTACATGCCAATTGCTTTAGTGAGAATCCACCGCCCACTGCAGCGGCCATTCAAACCACCACTGGCTTTGCCAGCTGCAATGTATCAATACTTTTCTCGAATGACAGATCTGCTTTGCCGACTTCACTTTTCTACATTATTCTATCGTCTGGAGGCTGTTAACCTTGAACTGCTGCGGAGATCAGGACGATGCGAAAGCCAATGTTTACTGTGGGGACGGTCTTTCTAAGACGGCTGCAAAACCCCTTTGGACGAGAAATTAGAGATGGCTAGTGAGGACATCTTCTGATAATGCCCGCACCAGCCTCGCAGCTGTCGCCAGGCAACAGAAACCCATACACCAAAACACGCCAAAACCACAGAGCCGCCCACTGTCCGTTCCAGCCCTCCAGCACCAAGCCCCGGGCCCCGGTGTATTGGTGGCTCACGGGACCTAAAGAACGTGACTAGACTAAACATCACGTGACCAATTAGCACGTGACTGATCGCACGTGACCCCCGCTCACGTGACGCGCACCCGCGCGCCCACAACTCTCCTGTCAACTCCCCAGTACTCCCTAAGCGCCCACAAACCCAGCGTCCATCGCCCCCAAACCACGCCTTCCCGCCGGCCAGCGCCCCCACAGCCCCCCAATTCACCTCCGCACACCCGTCGGCATGGACCCCGGAAAAATCCCGCTTTCCCACACCTTATGGTCGCCGCACGACACCGTCAAGGACGCGGCGGAGCATTTGGGCATCACGCTCCCCGAAGATGCCGCCAAGAACTTGGCCATGGACGTGGAGTACCGCATCCACGAGATCTTGGAGTGCGCCAACAAATTCATGCGCCACCTGAAGCGCCGCTTGTTGACCACCGGCGACATCAGCCACGCGCTCAAGGTGTTGAACATCGAGCCGCTTTTGGGCTACGACACCGCCCAGCCGCCGGTGTTCCGCGAGGCGCTTTTCGGCGCGGGCGGCCAGACGCTCTACTACCTCGACGAAAACGAGCTTGAGTTCGAGAAGTTGATCAACCAGGAGCTCCCGAAGGTGCCGCGCCAGTCCACGTACACGGCGCACTGGTTGGCCATTGAAGGCGTGCAGCCGACGATCCCGCAGAACCCGCTTGCGCTGGAGATCAAGAGCTTGCCGCCCATCTCGCGCGGGGCCATTTCGCTGGTGCTCAGCCGCGACTTGCTCCATCTCTCGGGCGGCGCGGAGCCGGGCCCGGGCGCCGCCAGCGCCGACGAGCAGAAGGACGGCCGCCTGAAGAAGAAGCCGGACAAGGACACGGACGTCAAGCCCTTGGTCAAGCACGTGCTCCTGAAGGAGTTGAAGCTCTACTTCGACAAGGTGGTGGAGGTGCTCGTGCTGCCGGACCCGGAGAAGGACAGCTTGCGCGAGGCCGCGTTGAGCTCACTCCGCACGGACCCCGGCTTGCACCAGCTCGTGCCGTACTTCATCCAGTTTGTCGCGGAGCAGATCACCAACCAGCTCCGCAACCTCGACATCCTCATCACCATGCTCGACGTGATCTCCGCGCTCTACGACAACAAGACCATCTTCTTGGCGCCCTACGTGCACCTGTTGATGCCGTGCATCTTGACGCTCCTCTTGGCCAAGCGCATCGGGACGCCGGCCAAGGAGCCCGTGGACGCGGCCGCGGCCGCAGAGTTGTTGCGCGGCCAGTTTGCGGTGCGCGAGTTTGCGTCTTTGCTTCTCGAGCACGTCATCACCTCCTACGGCAGCTCCTACTCCACGCTCAAGCCGCGCGTGACACGCACGTTGCTCCGCGCGTTCTTGGACCTGAGCAAGCCCGTGGGCACGCACTACGGCGCGCTCCTCGGCTTGGACAAATTGGGGCCGGAGGTCATCAAGCTCGTCTTGGTGGCCAACTTGAAGGTGTGGTACCGCCTGGTACTCCTCGAGGGCGACCGCACCGACGCAGAGCGCGCGTTGCTCACGGACAAGATTGTGGCGGCGCTCCGCAAGTTGCTGGTGGCGGCACCGGCTGATGCCATGGCCGTGGACACACCCGTGCCGCCGGAGCTTGCGGAGAAGCTTGCTGGCCGCATCGGCGAGCCTTTGGCGGCCGTGGTGTTGGCTGCCGCCGACGGGCCGCTGATTGTGCAGGGCATTTTCTTTGGCGAGGCCTGAGTGGGCACGATCCGAGATCCCATGCCTCATGGCCTATTCGAAAGGGAACATCGAGGTGCACTAGGCGGGCGATCAAAAGGACACTACTAGACAGATCAGCACCTGCACAAGGAGTACCATCGACAAAGGCCCAAGATTCTCAGGTGTTAATAGAGTTATCACCAGAAGGGGAACTACAACAATCATACAAAAGCTCATGTATCATTAAAAGGTGCATTGGGAAGCGAGTGCTGCAACGGCTAGAAGGTTCGCTTCTTCGTGTACTTTTTGGTTGCCGACTTCGGCGCAGAGGCAAGGAGCCGTTCGAAGTCCGAGTCGGAGTCTGACTCCAGGCTCATCAAAGCACAGTCTGCCACGGAACTCACGGGCGGCGCCGATGGCGGTGGTATTTGCATTTGCAGTTCCGGTTCTTTCATGTCGGTCTGTGGCGGTTTTACGGCCGGCGCCATATCGGCGCTGCCTATTTCAAAAATGTCCGTGCTGGCAAGACCAGCGAGGCCCGCCAATCCGCTGGCTGCATCCAGGTTGTCTTGACTGAAAATGTCGGCCCTCTCACCGCGCAGGGAAATGGGCGACTCGGCCTTACTGGCGCTTTTGGCTGCGGTCGTTCTCCTAGTGGCGCGTCTGGGTTCCAGAATGTTGGTCATTCGTCTGGCCAAAGGCAGAAGCCCTGCTTCAGTGCACTTGACTGGCGGAGGACCTGCCGTGGTGGTATTGTAGAACGGCGACTGCTGGAGAGAAACATGCGGGCCTGGTTTGCTCTTGGTTCCTGCTGGATCGACAGACGTCCGTTTAGCTAGAACAGACTTCTTGACAGTAACGAACTTCCCCCCAGTACCCACATTCCCAGTCGCTTCAGGCATTTCCGAAGTATTAGTTCTTTCAATAACTGGTTTTCTCGCAGACTTCTTCTTGACAACAATAGATTTTGCTTCGACAGCTGGCTTTGCTTTGGTAGCTGGCTTTGCTTTGACAGCTGGCTTTGCTTTGACAGCTGGCTTTGCTTTGACAGCTGGCTTTGCTTTGACTGCTGGCTTTGCTTTGATACCCAGGGTTCCTGTAGCACGTGGCTTTTCAGTCACACTAAACTCTCTCTCGGGGTCTTCATCAGAAGACTCTTGCCTGTCATCACCAACGCGTTGATCCTTCCGGACTGGAGAGGAACTTACCGCATTGACAGACATTCCCCGACCAGCACCAAAACGGCCATACAGAAAAAACCTGCTGTCCTCGGAGTCTCTCACTGGCGAAGACACAATGCCCATGGATTTCACGGGCGATTCCCGTGCCACCTGAGAGAGCCGTTCATGCACCGATGGTTTCTTTTCCTGCCGGCCCTGGGGCGTCTCTTTCACGATATAGCCCCCATCAACGGTACGTTGATTCGACGGCGTGGCGAGGACCTGGGGCGTGGCAAACACCCGGGGCGCATTTCTTGAGGCACCAGGGGCGGCTGGTTTTGCCGGTGTCGCCTCGACCTGCCGCACGTTGGTAAACGACTGGCTACTTTGGGCAAGACTAGCTCCCGACTTGACTCGTCGGGCATCAGTGAAAAGAAACAGATTGGATTTCCCAGGCTCCGTGTCCGCAGGCTCGTTCTTAGCCACGGACATGTCGACCTGGCGCCGCTTCAAGTTGCGTGTGCCCAAGTTCGACTTGGACCGTTTCAACGAGAATGCTGGTTTGATGCTGTCGGCATCCGTTGTGGTGGAGGCGCGGGGAAGCGTTGGGATCGAGTCTGTGCTCATGGATATCTTGGGAAATTTGGACTGTGGATCGCTGGGCTGGTTCTGCGGCAGGCCAGGAGGTTCTAGCGAGGAGGCGCTTTTCGTCCACTCCCGGATCCGCTGCAGCAACTCCGACCCCGGGTCCTCGGCCGAAGTGCCTTGATCCGAGCCGGGTGGCTGGAAGAGCGCCCGGGCGATTTTTCGCTCCGCTTTGGGCACTCGCGTCCTCAGGATATTGGGCCGGAGACCCTTGATCTGCTTGATGATAAACAGCACGGTTTTGGGGAGGCCCTTACCAAAGAAAGGCACCACCACAAACGCCAAGAAGCCCTGTGTGTTTTCGTCCTTGTCGGTCCTGCCGTGCTCCAAGAGCGAGTCCCAGAGCCCGATCTGGTCAATCAAGCCCACCAACGATGTATATAGGCTCAGTGGCGACATGTGGTCCTGCTTCGGGGAAAGCATCACAGTTCCCGACACCCCTTCGGGTTCCGTGACCCCGACACCAAGGAACGTGGCAATCACTTTTTTCTTCTTGCGCCGGATGAGCGCAGGCTTCCGTTTTGAAGCCGCGGCTTGGGCCTGCTGCCTCCGGCCCGTGTCTAGGAAGTCCGCCTCGTCAACGGCCATGCAAAGAATAATCTCCAAAAGCAACACAATCTGGATTTGCGCCTCCCGGATCTTCAACTCCAACACAAGGTGCTCGAGCAGCTCGTCCTTGGTGGTCTGCTCATAGTGCTTGCTCACGAACAGCGCCTGGTTTTCTGCCTCAAAGGGGCACATGGCCATTTCCACCTCGCATTGGTGGCCCGGCTTGCAGAGGCCGTATCTGGCCTGGCGCCGCTGCTCGAGCTGCTCCTGCGAGAGAAAAACCCGACCTAGGCACTCGAGCATCTGCGTGCGCTCGCCGCCACACATGTTGCGGAACCTTGGAAGCGTGGTTTTCGGGAAATAGCTGAGCGGCGTGCTTAGCGAGTAGAGTGTGTTGAAGTACCGGGACCGGAGAAAGTCTAGCGGCGTTTTCTCGTTTTGTGGGGAGATCGTATACCTGGCAGGGGCCGGGATCTCGCTGGCGAGCAGCGCCACCCGTGGGGGCCTCATTGAAAACTGCTCTCGAGGAGTTTTGCTTTTTGGTTGGCTGTTGTCTGAGACGCGCCATGCGTCGATGTAGTTGTGGAAGGAATGGTCCATGATCACCACATCTCCAAGGGTTTCATCACCAGAGACAACACCCGAACCATCGGAGCCAGCGGGCCCTAGCTTGTCCACACTAATCAGCTCCATACACCCATCTAGCAACTCGTACGCGTTTTGCAGAACGTCACATCTGACAAGTATGCCATGGCGTAGCACGTCCGAATGTAGTGTCTCGACCTTCACCAAAAAAGCGTGGGCGTCGCCAATTCTTTTAGTGGACGCCACAGAAAGCCACACAGACTTGCGTGAGCTGAAGATCTGGGGGTCGAGGCTGTTGACGTGAAGAAAGCGCAACTTCCTCAACACTGATACCACGATATTATGTGCTGGGTCTGAGCCGTTGGCGATCGTCAAGCGACACGGTAGCTGCGGCTCGCAGGGCGAGGGCGGGTCTGTAGACATTTTAAATAAATACACAAACCATGCAAGAGGTTCACGGCGCTTGGTGTGGCGGCCCGGCAATGGTGATGTCGGGTCCGCGTAGTGTCTTGAGACCATCGCACCCAACGCTGGAGGTGCGCGAGGGAAACGCGCGCGTCATTTGGGCCACGGGCATCGCGGCACCAAACCCGTGTGCCCGCGTTCGAATCCAATCAGTATGCCTCTCCCAAGCGCGTCATGCGAACGGACACTCAGACATTGAGCCATTCGTGCTCGGCAATGTCGGTGATTGTCGGCCTGCCTTTGATGTCTCGCACCAAAATCTTTTCGATTAGGTCCACCAGGGTCTCGCTGACAACGAAGGGAACACGCAACTCGCCCTCCATGATGTCATCAACATTGTAGAACGGGTTTTCCTTGTAGAGCATGATATAGAGCAAGATGCCGAGCGCCCAAATATCCTGCGGCTTGCCGTCGTATTTCTCCCCCCTAAGAACCTCGGGTGACGCGTAGTCCACCGTCCCCACAAAAACGTCAAAGGGTCCCAGCTTCACATATCCGGCGCTGCCGAAATCAATGAGTTTCACAACACCCACCTCGTTCACAATAATGTTTTCGTCTTTGATATCTCTGTGGACAATGCCTTGTTTATGCAAAAAGTAAATGGCCAGAACAACCTGCTTGAAGATGAGCTGGCAGTTTAGCTCACTAAGATTGTTCTTTACCTCGATGTAATCGAACAAATCAATGGCTGGGGGATCGCCGAACACGGGTGTCTCCAAATAGTAATAGTTGGGGTCCTCGAAATAGTCAATGATTCTCATGATGTTGGGATGCGGTTCCTGATTCAAGGTGGCCATGATCTGGATTTCCGACGGGATGGTACCGAGCTGTCGGTCTCTCACCCACGTATCCACCAAGATCCTTTGTTTGTCGATACACTTAATAATAATTTTGTATGCGGGGTCATCCTTGTGTTCTGCAAGCACAACCTTGCCATAAGCCCCCTCTCCCATATTCTTTAGAATATTGAACTCGGTGTACTTTTTTGTTCGCTTTTTCTCCCCGATTTTCGAGGGCCAATATCTAGATTTGCTTTTTCTTTCCTCGAGCTCCTTATTTTCTGCAGATAAGATCTCTTGCTCCGAGAAGTTTCTGTAAAACAGAACCTCCAGTTTCTCTTGGTCTTCAGTTTCAATAGAAGAGGGCCGAGTGGATGATTTCCCAACATCACTCGCAGTGTAGGTGCTTCCTGAGATTGAGATCGATCTTGTTGAGGCTAGATCTTTCGATAACTGTTGTTTGGAGGATGAGTCGCTCATATAAGTGATAGGAACCGAAAAAGTGGTTACTCTTTTGGGACGCCGAGTGCTGCTATGACGACTGATATCAGAGCTGCTGGACCCGAGCTCGAGTATATCGGATTCATTTTCCGGAAACAACTTCATCTGTGAGGGGAGATTCACTCGGCTGCTGGTTCCTTTTGGCCTCAAAGGCAGAGGAGCTTCATTCGTGCTGCTACTAGATAGCTTGTGTAAATGCTTGTGGATGCTTTTGTTGCTGTGACGGGAGTACGTCACCCACAAAACAAAAACATCAGGTCTGACCACTCGTAGCTGGACGTCAATAAATATTGACTTTCCGTCTCTGTGTAATCCCTCGATACCGCGAGAATACAAGAACGCATGCTCTGCGCTTTTGACATCAGTGGAGCTCAGTTTCATAATCGCACTGTACTTTCGAAAGAAATGCTCCGGGAGAACCAACCCGGGAGCAATTTGAAAAGCTGAATCTTGATCTTCTAGACCAGCTTGCAAGATCTTTGAAAATTCTGGGATAATTGTATCCACACTGTGCCCCAAAATGTCATCATACAGAACACCGAATAAATTTTTCGCAATCGCTTTATTACACGAAAGCACCTTTAGGTCCGAAAACTCCACCACAATCATGCCAGCAATATACGGCATAGAATGAATTTTAAGCTTGAGCTCAAATTTAGTGTCATCTTTCTCCAAAGGATAGGAGGTCAACGCACATGGGATATTTTCGTCCCCAGCGAGCTGAAGTGTATAGTAGCGATATCGATTAAGTCTGCTGCTATCCTCCCAATCATATTGTGCGTCTTCTTCATGATTCAATGTCAGCTTCTTTAAATCCATGTCTAAGCTCTCAGAAATGCTCTGAAGATTCTTAACACGGCTGGTGTCTGATTTTGTGATCAAGTTTCCAGCAATCTCCTCAATTGAGGTCACAGTGTAGGGCGTATTCTTGTAATTGTCCACGTCACACAGGATAAGCACATCAAAAGCATCGCATGTAATTTGCTCAAACATGCAAATAATCAAATTATCCTTTTTCTGCGCCCAAATAGAAGTCCATGCAAAATCACCTTCAGAGTATCTTGAGATAGCAATGATTTCACCGGCAAATATAATAGTCTTGTTCAGTTTCAGGCGTCTGTCAATGTTTCCCATCACCTTAGTCATTCTTTCGGTGACAAAGTTTCTGAACTGTGGCGCAATAAGGTCTATTAGAGTCAAATTCTTGATCATGCTTTTCAGAACCCCAAACATCAAGCACGCTAAATCGTTGGCAGCCTTGAAACTCCATGGAAAATCTGCGTCCACAGTGATAATAGATTGCGGGGAAGCATGCTTTCCTGCAGAGATGGCATGGAATGGTCTGTTTCCAGGTGGAGCAAGTAGCGGAGCAGCAGAGTTCCCATTTTGAGGAGCTAGAAGATTCAACGCAGTTGTAGACGAATTGATGGCTGGACCCGGGCCAGAGATCGACATGGAGCTGGGCATTGTCGCTCCCCAAAGGGGCGCTGCCATTGCTGCTGTTTCTACAAAAGGAGTGGCCAATGCAAATAAAAGCTTGTTCTTTAGAGCATTTTGTTTTTTTCTTACGTCTTCGCCTCCTGATGAGAGTGAAAGATCGTGTAAGGTTGCTGCAATATCTTTCTTTGACGAAAGAAGGGTCGCATCTTGCTCTATGAGTTCAATGATATCCTTCAAATCATCCGTGAACTCACTGTCATCAGCATCGAGAGTATCGTCTTGCTGGAGTGGCTTGCCCACATCAGACTTTTCTAAGAGGATACTTCCTGAGTGTACGCGTGTTCGCAGTAAACTCTCAGAACGCGAAAGTTTTGGGCGAAATAGAGCATTCAAGGCCGCCGAAGAAGCGTTGGAGGTGAGTTTGAACCGATCATTGGCGTTTGATGAATATTCGTGTTCGCTTCGCAGATACAGTCTGTGCATTAGCGGGCGTGTAACAAGCTTTCGTTTGAGACTGTCAAGATGGGCTGGAGACAGTATTAGTGGCGACGGCGGAGCAGAAGCTTCGTCGTCAAAGTTGCTTATGTCGTTTGTAGGCTTGAGTGTTTTGAGCCAGTCTGGTCTTTCATTGAGAATTTCGAGTGATCTCTTCAACACGTTGAGACGGAGAGCCAAGGAGTTGGGAGATAAGTGAGCATACGAGTATGCATGGGAGTTTTCCACAGGGAACAACAAAATTTCTTCGAGATTCGGGGGCTCGGACGTCCGCGAAGAGACCTTGGAGAGGGAGGAGGTCCCCACAGAAGCATGAGCGATATTGCGGCATTGGTGTTCCACGGGACTCACAGTTGAGTCTTCATCGTCGGCAAAGTAAAAGGGACTGGCCGCTCCTGTCATAGTGGGGTGCTTAAAGAAATATTGCACTTGGAAAACTGCGCACTTTGTTTTGGTTCTTGCAACGACGAAAGAATGGGTGTTTATATGCGGAGAACAATGGGGGTTCGGAATGCGCTGTACTTGAATGGCGATGACGTTGAGCGAAAAGACCGCGAAGGGGTAAAAGTCGAGATGGCAATCACGTTGTCAACCGCGCGGAAATTGCAGATTCAGAGAAAGCGTGATGGCCCGAAAAAATAACACTCAGGATTTCTGACGGTGCGAAGGAGAAAGAACTGTCAGGTCGGGTGTGGGTGGTGGGGTGGTGGGGTGGCTTTAAACCGTAAGACCGAAGATCAACAGTGAGGAGACTCCTGCAGGAGCGTCCTGGCTGAGTAAGTATGGGGCGTGCATGCAGCGCCCGAAAGCCAGCGGGTAATGTGAAAGACCGTGAGGCGCTGGCCCTTCCATAATCGTGTGATGCCTGGACTCAAAAATGCTATGCCACAAGCATGGCTCTAGACCACGGGGTTAAGTATAGGTCTTTCAAATGCAGAATTGAGCATTGGAATCAAAATATTAGCGTAATGTATTAGGAAAAAGGGGGATGAGGTGCCGCCCTGCGCTGGCGCTTACGGAGCCCCTCAACTTCCTCCAAAAGACGTACCAAGTGTGCAAATGAGTTTAGTCTAAGGCATAGCTAAGTTACAAGTGTATTCTGGAGTCCATGGCGTCTTGATGCTTTCTTTAAGTGTTCCTATGATTTTGGTGTACTTTTCTGTGCCTTGAAGACAATCCGAATCTGTTTTGGAATGCTTTCCTCGAGCTGGCAGAGTGGTTCGAAAGCGCTTCCGGCTGAGTTCAGGTGTGTTTCCTGATCAGCTTGGATCACATGCACAAGAATCTGATATTCTTGACACGTATCGTTTACCGACATTCAGACGGTATTCAAAAATTTGCGTTAACCATGTGTGCACAAGTCCAAGCCGCTGTGTTTTTGCAGCCAGGGAGAAAAGTTACAAGCGGCACTCCCGAAGTCTCCCCATATTTGCAGCGCCGGATCCGGTGCCTGCACACAGGGTTGTCTGGGCTCGCAATCTCCGTTAACCACTTGCAGGACCCGCACACGCGGCTCGAACATGCCGTGCTGGCTGACGGACCGCGACTGCAAAATCGCTGCAACATCAAACATCCAGCGTCATCCAGTGGTCGACAAAAAGTAAAAAAAAAGGAAGAAAAAAATTGCATCACTGAAGTCTTGGAGCAGAAGGCATAGGCCAAAACACCGACACGTTTCTGCTGGCAGGTATGTCACATACGACAAATCAGTCTTACAATCACTCCCTGGTCCAGAACTCTTGCAACAGTTTGATGATATTTTCAGAACGCAGCCTAGAGTCTGAACTCTTGAACGCTATCATCTAAGTCTGTCATTGCATCAATGCTGTGCACAGTCCGGTTGGGCACAAAAGAGCCCACCACGGGCGTGTCGCCCAATCCATATATGACAGACGGCGTCGTCCTTTGCCCAGAAAGAGCTGGCAGTAATCCATGGAGTGAGTTGGGCGTTCCCACAGCCAGGGTCTCGTATGTCGGAGGACTCAAGGCACGGACATCCTCGTACATTGGGGGCACCTCGTCGTCCCAAGCTATACCAAGCCCGGATCTCTCGGTCATTACCACCTTGAACTGCATCCGCAAAACACGGGCGGCGCCAGTGGGTACACCCATCACGTTGCTCGCAGATACCACGGAGCTGGACGACTCGACGGGCGTAAGGCCCTCTTTGGGAACCTGCGAGTGCTTGGAGTGCAGGACAATCTCCTCGGCGATTATCACCTCCAATACCAAAACATGCCCAACGTAAACACCTAGCACTGGGTCGTCAATGTCGCACGAGATGTTCGCATCGTTCCGGAGCCCTTCAAGCAATTCGTTGGGCGGCGTATCTTCAGACAGCGCCTTCATGGAATGCAGCTTGATCCCGCTGGAGCACTCGAGGGCCGAGATTTCTGCCACAAGCTCGATGGTGCCCTCGCCCAGAAAGTCTGACTTCCATCCTGATTTGATGTCACCATGCGCCACAACACGGAGTTCATCATGAAAAAGAGCTTCGCTGCTGCGTTCTTCGCCAGAGAGCTGTGCGGGAGAGTCGGTACGAGAATTCACGTTGGAGATAGCCTCAAGCTCTGCTGGAGATGCTGGAGTTGCATCTCCGGTGTCAGACGTTTCATCGCCTTGACTTGCCGCTGTGTTGCCAAAGTCCTCTTCAAAGTGCACCACCTCGTCAAACACTCTGTTTGTTGGCACTTCTTCTTCAGGCTCCACGATATCGTGATTGCCAACTGGAACGTCGTTCATATTGGAAGCATCTATAGCCGCGGCTCGAATGGCGCCTTGTGTGTTTGCAGGCGGGTGACTCACAAACATCAGTGTCTGAATTGTCAGATGGTGCATACCGTTGCTCTTGCTGGGCCCGTTCCCAGCCATGCTCGGGCTTGCTCCATTTTTGGGGCTTGTGCCGGTCCGCAAGGCATTTGCGAGCTGGGCCTTGCGCTGCGTTTCTTCAATTAACTTGAGTTTGTGTGTGTGTTGTGGGCATGAATGGGCCGCAATTTGTGTGTGCTCTTCGAGCTTCCACAGCAACTTGCGGAGTCTCCATCGGCGATCTTGACGCGAATTGACCACGTGGCCCATCCGGAGCTCGATGGGAAATGTTGATTTCGGGTACATCACTCCCGGAAGCACCGCGTTAGCAGTAACTTCGGTAGGAGGAAACACCCGGAGCGAGTTACGGTCAGGGCCCCGCACAATCGAGCGCAGAATGTTGACGGGGAGCGTCACCCTCGTTTCCCGGCCTGCGCACTTTGCAATGGCGACAAGATCGTATTTTATATACGTATACGAGTGGGCGCTGCCTAACTTAGATGATGCTGCCAACAGCCCGGGAATCAAGTGAGAGAATGGGTACGCGTGGGAACCTGTTGGAAACGATGAGTTCTGCAGCAAGACGTCCCATTGTGCCAAGGTGTTTTTCCTGGTGACACAATCCTTGCACGAGTTGACCAGATTTTACAGGACAATGAACGGCTTGGTGTAGTGCATGGTCTGGACAAGCAGCAAAACCACCGAATCGACATCGACGCGGGTATCGCTGGATGCCACGGGTGACAAGCATTGGCCATCTGCAGAATAAGCCTCGGAGCTCCCAGAGCGAGCCGAGTTTTGCGGATATAGATCGGCATAAGACGTCTGAGGTGAAAGGGTATCTGTGTGAGCAGCACCAAAGAACTGTGGGTGAACATTGAGGGTAAGTACACCCGAAATGAGCGATCCTGTTGACTCGTGAGCATGGCCGTAGAGCACGACGGGAGGCGATTCTAGATTGATGTTGAGCGAGATCAAAGAAGACCCACTGTTCGGGTTGGAGCTACCAGCTGAACTTGGAGACAGTGTGGAACGTGGTGGTCGTTTGGAGTTCTTGTCGGTGTGGTGGTGCAAGACCCTGGATAAAAGCGTCATTAGTGGTGTAGCTAGTGGAGGAACAATGGGGGAAGAGTGAGCACACAATTATGCTTAAAAAACTGTTGGACGGATTAATGTGTTCGCTGGGGGAGTGTGGGTTGAACTGCGGAAGCCAGATATTCCCAGCTCAATTCGTGTGTTGTGGGGCTGACACTATATGGGAAGAAAGCTAAGATATACGGTGCGATGGGTATATGGGGCAGACTGCAGAACCTTTTTTTTTTTTTGGAGCTGAACCAGCGCGCCGTTTGGTTATCGAAGGCGGGACACTAGACACTTGGCAATATGGCGAGCCGTAGTGTTGGTGTAAAAAACAATGAGTCCTCTTCGTGCTCGGAATGGTAAAAATGTCGGCTCTGGGTATATTAATGAAGTATGTTTCTTCATGTCCCCGCTGGGTCTGGAATTACCTATTCGGTCATACCCTATATAGCGGAACCAGCGTGCGGAAGGGTCCGGGATACCGGTCTTTGGGGCCAGATCTCGGTGGGGCACATTCGAGTGAAAGCCGTTGCGGGGCTTGATTTGGGAGAGCGGGATCATTTCCAACAATGATTTTTGACTACATGAAACGTGGTTCAGTGAGCTCTTACCGCTTATTCCATGCTTAAATGGTTGGCCAACTATTCAAGATCTCACCCATACAGCTTCTGGTTAAGAGCACGGATTGACCAAGCCGAACCGTTCGGAGTTCGCCGAACCGTTCCGCCGCACATGGAGCCTTGCACATCACGTGCGCAAGCCCAAGTTGCGACAATTATAAGCAGGGTGCGAAAACGCAGAGATGCTTTGAAAAGCTAGAAGTCACTGCATCCAGAACAAGGATGCCTTGTGGTACATTGGTAGTGCTTTCCATCGTCAAATGCTAGATCATGAAGAGGCCACAAAATTCTGCCTCATTGCTAGTCTGCTCGGCGCCTGATGACCGAAATTTTTGATGAGCCCTCATTGATGACCATAGGGAAGATGCCGACTAGAGATGCACCCACAATCGAATGAAGAGCTCCTTGGCAAAATTTACAGAGGGCCACATATACAAAGATTGGATCCTTCTACTAAATGACACTCCGCCAACGGATTTCATTTTGCTTTACTGAATGCTATGAAGATACTATACTCAAGACTCTATCAAAAACTTCGGGCAACGTTTCACCTATCTGGGTAACTTGCAGACGCAAGAGAGTATTATTCCTCGTCGAACTGTATCCAGCTTTCGAAGCCATCCTCAAACACAGTCTGCAATTTTTTCTCGAGAGAAATAAGATTTTTTTGCAGCTTAATGACGTTCTCGTACTCTGCGAATTCTTCATCATTAAGCAAGCACTCGTCCATTGCCTTCTGGAGTCCCTTCTTATCGATGTTGAGCCCAATAAAGACAATTTCATTACGACGGTCTCCATACTTGCCCTTCATGTCCTTTTGAATCAATTCTGCAGCCTCGGGCGGGATGAATTCTGGACCGGTGACGCAAAACCACGGCACTCCACCTTTCATGGTAAGCATGCTGCCAGCAGACAGCCACTCTCCCCTAATAATGTGGCGAGAGGCTAGCCAGAAAAAACCCTTGGACCGAAGCATGGGCCCAAACACGGATGCTTTCTTGTTTTCGATGAGCTGTTGCTCGCTCAAATCTTCGTCTTCTTCGTCTTCTTGGTCGTCCTCACTCTCACTTTCAGACATATCACTATCCCTTCCACCAGCCTCATTTCCTTCATTATTCTCGGTTCCTTTCTCATTCTCATTGTCGTCCTCGTCCACACCTTCATTCTCCTCGTCAGTTTCCCCCTCTCCATCGTGTTCATCCACGCCAGACTGCTCGATGATTAAAAACTTTTCCCGAAGAGTACGGTAAAGACGCTCAGGATGGAACGGACGACGCGATTGATATATGAAATGGTTGATACCGTACTCTTCGGTCTCAGGTTTGGGGGTCAAAGTCGCCTTGCTCTTATCTCCAAAGCCTTCCCTTACGGTCATCTCATTAATGCTTTGAAGCCATCCTGCAGAAGTACTGGCCTTCTCGAAATCAAAGAGCTTAGTGTTTATCACATCCTTGACATTGACCTTGGCATAGTCGCATTTGATGATTTTGGCGACTGGATTCAAAGCCTGAATGACACCCTCGACTCTTTTCGCTTGTTTGCGGCCAGCCTTTGTTGCCTGAAGAGACGAAAACTTGTTGATTATCACCACATCGGCAAACTCGATCTGGTCTACCATCAAATCAGTAATTGTACGCTCAGTCTCACCTTGTCCGTTATCGCCGTACCTGTCAGCAAGAAATTCGGTGGTCTCGAAATTACTCATGAAATTAACGGCATCGATCATGGTCACGCATGTATCCAATTTGGTCAATTTGTTGAGTCCTCCAAGAGCAAGAATTTCCTGGAGAACCTTGACTTCTTCCTCTGGAAGATCACTTTGGAGCATTTGTTCAGAAAACTCAGTGGTGAAAGTTTCAGCTACCTGCATGGGTTCTGATATTCCAGTTGACTCGATGATTATATATTGGAACTCACCTGCCGTTGCGAGCGATACAAGCTCCTCGAGCAAGTCGCCTCTCAAAGTGCAGCAAATACAGCCATTTTGCAACTGGATGAGCTTCTCTTCCTTTTTCGTGACTTTGTGGTTTTGGATCAAAGCAGCGTCGATATTCAACAGGGACACGTCGTTGATCACAACTGCAATTTTTAAACCATGCTCAGTTGTGAGAATACGTTCCAAAAGCGTCGTCTTTCCGGAGCCAAGAAACCCTGACAAAAGCGTTATGGGGATAGGCGAACATGGAAGATTCCTACGCTGTGTTGCTTCCGTGGAACTAGGCATTTTTATTGCTTTATTGTCAACATCCAACAGCTGATAATGCCACTTATATACTCGAAGTTGGCCTGGGCACGTTTGTCGGCACGAGACCGCTATAGCCTTGGTGGTTATAACCTACACTCATAATTTCGATATTGAGATAAAACATGTGTATGACCATTTAGTTAGCTTTTATTGGCCAGCATTCCCCATGAAATATTCATAACCATGGGATTTGTTTTTATGCACCAGTTTATAATTCGACGTGAGCGTGCATACTGGTTTTGACTCTTGCCTGAACTGCAGTTTTCGGCGATCAGAGCGAAAATCAATCTGAAGAAGAATACGGATTGATGCATAGCTTCGAAAATTCTTTATAATTCATGATACATCCATTTTTTAGGGATGCTAATTCAGTCGACCAAGACATATTCGATGGGACATTTACATACAGGACATGCTGTCTTTCGCAATACGAAGGAAAATGACTACCCGGGTTAAAAAGACGGGAGTTGTACATATATCCCGAAAAGCTTTACATTTTGTACAGGCTGTTGGCTCAGAGACACGACTAGTTGGCTTTGGTTGGAACTACACGGGCCACGACCCGGTCTGGCACTTCGTGATGATCACGTGATGGTTTTGCTTTGGTGACATAATAACCACCGCGGTGCGAAGCCTGGTATTCAAATGCACACCGCTTAAGAAAAGTCCAACAAACCAAAATTCTTCAAAGCACACTAGAATTTTAATGCTCTACATTGAAAAATTGAATTGCTGATTGTATGAGTCACGTGATACAAGGCCTAGTGGGCAGGACTGAAGCCGATTCCAGGGAATTGGTTTTCTTTCGGGAGCTTCCATACACCGGGCAGAAGTGCTGAATTATACTTGTGGGAGCACCTCCAAACTTTTGCACCCATGATGTTTCATTAGTTATTGTTCAGCTCTCCTCTTTAAACTAAACAAATCGATAAGCTGCAGAAACTACTTGTAAGAAATAGTCCATGGAACAGTAGAGTTTACTCGTAGTCACGTAAGCGTAGGCAACTGATGATATTTCAGAAGAAAATTACGAGTACTCATTTAAGGGTGTACCCCCATAGTCCAGACATTCGATGGGCGAAATATTTAAATTCCAAATATTCTAGTGAGCACAAAGTAGTGATATTAGTGATGGTAGAGAAAACTAGTACAATCTTTAAAGAAACCCATTAATATACTACTGAGTAGAAACGATAGTCCCAAGTATAATAAACTAGTACGCAAGAGCTTCTAATAAACTAAACCATTGAAACATGCTTGTGAATGATAGAACGCCACAAGGAAGTGACTCATGGAGTACTTCCAGCAAGAAAAATCTACTGATGGCAGGTGTGAACCACTGAATGTTAATAGTTACCAGCGTATACAAACTGATCAATTCTGTGGTTTACAAGTACACACAGCTTACTAAGTAGTAGCTATAGTAGTCTACGGAGATACCTGTAAGAAAATAAATAGGACGTAGAAACAGCTGAAACTCTAGGCATACCCCATTGATCTAGCATGTGTATCTGCTTAGCTTGATAATATATAAGCCGAATATATGTAGTTTTGAACCTGTTGAGTCTAGTTTATGTACCTTATACCTTTGCCACCATCACTAATCTACCGAATCTGAGCCAATATAACCATTCTAGTGCCCCTTGGTCATATCGCTTCTCTTATGTACTTTGCTCGATATTACTTGGCTAGTGAAGCATGGTTCACTAGTCAGATTTGCTGAGTATTACTTCTCATGTAATTTGTTGAATATTGTCTTTCAGTGCAATTTGCTTATTAGTACTTCTTTAGTGCACCTTAGCCAAAATCACTTCTACTCAAATTGCTCTATTTTACTTCACGTTTGGTCTCATCACTTCTCTGGGGCACCTTGGCCATATCATTTCTCCAGTGAAATTGCCCAGTATAACCCCTCTAGTGTACCCCAGCCAATAATGCCCCTCGTAATTCAGCCTTGCCCATGCCTCTCTATCATAATTTGTATTAAAGTGATGTGAAACCTTAAAATCTATTGGTAAATTTCCTTTGATCTGCCCGGTTGTTAACTTGAAATAGAGTTGATTCCCTCCCTTTTTTGAAGGAAATGTAGATATCAAGCAAGGTATGGTGTCTGAAGCGTCAAGATCAATTTTGGATACAAACGTCGACATCATTGATATAGTCTCAATTAACTCATGCTCATGAACAGTGCTAATACATGCAACACTTGACCAAAAAAGCTGAGGAAAGTCAATCAATTATTCTAAATCAAGTTCAGCTGTGATTGCATTAGAGTCATCAAAATTTGCATAGCAAAACCTTGAATGTCTGGTGATTCATCGGATACTGTGTTCGAAAGGCGGTTCAACTAATCCTTAAGCATTGGCTGATCCAAAAATGTTAGAAGCGACCGAAATGAACGACAGGAAATATTTCTCACTGCGCAGGAAGTAGCCCATTGTAAGGAAATTTTACTCCAGTCTTTCTGCAATGAAGGTAGAGTTGGTGTGAAAAGCTCCAAAGTAACCTTCACCATGAGGTCATATTCTTTGGAGTAGTGCCCCCTTTTTGTCGTTATTCAAATCATAGGTCCAAAGTCTGGTCAGATCGTCCCTTTTTCTCAAAGTTTCCACAAATCGTTTTGCTTTAGGGTGGTCTGGTGCAATAGAGTGCATTGTATGCATGAGTAAGGATACTGTTTGCTCTTGAACCAAGGGGAAGTACTGATCCATGAGTGAGAAGGAAATACGCAACAACAATGGCAAATGATCCAGAGTTTTGTGATTCTTGAACCTGAAAAGGTCAACAAGAAACACCATAGATAATTGACCAAGTGAAAAAGCCAACTCCTTGAAATTCAAACCGAGAGTATGGGTCAAGTTCCCAGAGTATGGAAAGTCTGATTCTTCTTCCCTGCCAGTGAAATTCACCTGCAGAGGAACCATTGCTTTTGGCCGAAGGTTTTATATCATCCCATCAATAAGTAATGTAGAATCATGCTTCGAAAAAACAAGGTAAGCGATAATTTGTCTCGAATGAATTACAAAGCTTGGATTTCTTCTTTCCAAACAATTTATCACGATATGATCAAATATCAAGTCGAAGCTCTGTGGTTTAGTCCCTAAAGCAACCCAGATAGCTTCAAATTCACTGGTAATGGTCTTGCTAAACTAAACAGTGATTTCAAAAAAGTTGTTCATTTTAGAAGGCGCATCAATGTCACCTGAAGATATTTGAATGTCTTCAAATCAATTCAAGTTGGACCAACTAGGGGGTTTTGCCAAAGTTGAATAGGTCAATTCAACCGTTTGTACCCAAGGGAGTAAACATACAAGTATATCCCTTCTAGTTGAGCTATCCACAACACTGAAATATTTCGTCAAGTAGCTGATGTAAGGTGGCAAAACGCTAGTTTCATTAAAATTTTAAACAAAAGCTCTTTGTGCACAGCCATAGTTGAGCAACAGACACTGTCAGTGAAACGAACAATTTCTGTCGACTTCAAAAACTTTTCTTCAGCGAACTTGATACCTTTGATTGCAGCATACCGAATTTCGTGATTGTATGTTCCAACCAAAAAGGTCAAAATGATGAAAATCTAATAGGGCATAGAACCTACCTTCCTGTGATTTATGAATGCCTCAACAACAAGAGTGAAATACACTTCTTTCACTGACAAAGAATTTTCAGAGCTGTAACATTGTATAAGTGCCACGCAGTAAATTTCGTTGGTGTTATATTCAGACGAAAGAGTATTTTTCAAGGCAGTCTTCCCAATTTCTTGAACCTTTGCAATATCTGAGCCGATAATTTCATGAATTCACGTCATAGTTCCCTTCATTTTAAAAGATATAACAGCTGTTTTTCCAGGAACTGCAAAAGATTGTTTGAGCGCACCCGAACAAATTAAGCTTTTATGTAACATAAATATATATTGGCTTGTATTTTTAGCATTCTATCACCTAAAGCATTATTGTTTATATTACGGGCTCTTCATATACATGTAATAAATATATAAAATTAGATTAAAAGGTATTGAGCTTACATCAATAAATCATGATAATTTAAGTATTAACTCATTATAAAAACATTTATGAGAGACATTATTAGATCTAAAAATGTAACATTTAACAGCAAATAATTTTTAGCAAATAATTTTTTTTAATATAAAATACACATGAATAGAAGTTCCATCAGTCATAGTATAATTATAGTATTTGACATTGATGATTTTGTTAAAGTACTAGATACTAATAGAACTTCATCAAATCGTAAATTTTTTAATCCCATTGAAGATTCTTAAATGGTTATATTCAACCAATATGTGAGACATGTTGAATTATACAAAAATGGGTAAATTAAGTGAATTCAGTAAATTAAATAATTTCAGTAAATGAAGTTAACTAAGTAAATGAAGTGAATTAATTAAGTTAAGTAAATTAAGTAAATTAAGTAAATCAAGTAAATTAAGTAAATCAAGTAAATTAAGTAAATCAAGTAAATTCAGTAAATCAAGTAAATCAAGTAACTTCAGTACATTAAGTGAATCAAGTAACTTGAGTAAATTAAGTGAATTCAGTAAATCAAGTGAATCAAAATTTCAGTAAATCAAGCGAATCATGTAAATTAAGTTTCTTATGTAAATTAAGTAAATTCAGTAAATCAAGTAACTTAAGTACATTAAGTAAATCAAAAAATCAAGTAACTTAAGTAAAGCAATAATCAGAGCTAGAGAAATATCAAGAACAGAAAACTACACCGATAACTTTCAATATAAGCCCTCGAGGCGCCAGGGTGGTCCACTACGCCAGGATCTCGGGGGGATTATCTCACACACACTAAATGCCAGCTATCTACATAAAATCCATGACTACAACACAATGTAAAAAGATCAAGAGGTGCCTTTCTAGGTTTGCATTATACACCCGGATATCCCGGCTATACCGCACGGCGGCGCCTCCGTGAAAGGCAAAACACTGCCCAACTCCAGGAGGCCGTTTCTTTTTTTTTTCTCCGGACAGCTCTCGCAAACGGCTTTAGCAGAAGAAGATGATTTAAAAAATAAACAGTATTATCCAAATTATTTGTTTCATTAATATATTATTGTAATAATCAACAAAATTTATTTGTTGATCTTTGGGTGACTCAAAGTTATATTTTTGGAAAAGATCAAAACAAACAAGTTGGAGCCAAGCTTTACAAACATCATTAAGTACACTGGCAAAAGAATCTTAACATTCCGATAAGCATTAATTAAAATATTATAAAAAAAAATTAAAATTAGAGGCATTTTTAATCCAGAGGATAAACCCATATAAACAGAATACGAATGATTATCCTCAAACTTATCCTTACGTAATTTCAATCATGTATCCATATGAATAATGATACTAATTTCATTAATACTAAAATATTTCAGAAAAGGATGATTAAACAAACAGGAAGGTTCAGTAGTAGGCGGAAATTGACCTTGGCGCACTGTTGGCGGGATTATACGAATAGTCGGAAAGACGGGTCAGAATAGAGGAGACGGTCAAATAGAGAGGCCAAGCTGCCTGATGGATGGTACTGGGTAATATATTAACCAGTGCAATACTCGGGCCAAAAAAGGAGCAAAGTGACTAAAAGGCCCAAGCTTACTGTCATTTTAATAAATGCGCTATCGCTTTAAGAGGATGGACAAAAAAATCACAACTTGGATATTTTTATTACATTATCATAGGTGTTACGATAGAAGCCATAATGCAGATCTATCGGAATAAGTTCGTGAATCTGTATATTTTCTTATTATCAAGCCCCGGGAGAGAGTCCCGTTTCATCAGCTATCAAATGTGTGGAATCAGACTACTTGGGCATTCTAAAGCTTGGATCCCTGCTGCACGAGATCGAGTGTTCTAAAAAAGAGCTACCGATTTCTATGGACAGCTAAGTCAGGAAAAAATCATATTTTGCTTTCGCATATTGATGGTGGCTGATAAAGGAGCACTGGTGCATCAAACAATTGTGAAACTGTAAGATCCTTGGTATCAACTTGCCACCGATGGTCCCTGTAAGCGCATATGAATATATGCACGTCTATTATTGGGAGTTTCGTCCGATATCATTTTGAACAACACATGGAACATTCTCTCTAGTTAGGGGTTCCGATAACTTGGCCTCTAGTTGTAGTTTATAGCGCGGGAGAGAACTCCAGCGGAGCTCTGGAGAAAGTAGCGAGCAAGCAGTAATGCATAACCCTCATGTCCCGGTAAGTCCCTAGCAGATGGAGTATAATTTATGGAGATGGTGGATGATCAAGGTTCAATTATAAGTCCAATATTCCCCCCGCAGGGGGGGATATCCCCGGCAGCTTCGCTGCCTGGAATATTAGCTAATATTTATCTCCATCAATTAGATTTATTTATTATTAAATTAAAAGATGA